CAACAAGATTGGCAAATTCACCACTTGCGCCCTGTGCTCTTCACAGATGAAAGCAGGTTCACACTGAGCACGTGACAGACGTGACAGAGTCTGGAGACGCCGTGGAGAACGTTCTGCTGCCTGCAACATCCTCCAGCATGACCGGTTTGGCGGTGGGTCAGTCATGGTGTGGGGTGGCATTTCTTTGGGGGGCCGCACAGCCCTCCATGTGCTCGCCAGAGGTAGCCTGACTGCCATTAGGTACCGAGATGAGATCCTCAGACCCCTTGTGAGACCATATGCTGGTGCGGTTGGCCCTGGGTTCCTCCTAATGCAAGACAATGCTAGACCTCATGTGGCTGGAGTGTGTCAGCAGTTCCTGCAAGAGGAAGGCATTGATGCTATGGACTGGCCCGCCCGTTCCCCAGACCTGAATCCAATTGAGCACATCTGGGACATCATGTCTCGCTCCATCCACCAACGCCACGTTGCACCACAGACTGTCCAGGAGTTGGCGGATGCTTTAGTCCAGGTCTGGGAGGAGATCCCTCAGGAGACCATCCGCCACCTCATCAGGAGCATGCCCAGGCATTGTAGGGAGGTCATACAGGCACGTGGAGGCCACACACACTACTGAGCCTCATTTTGACTTGTTTTAAGGACATTACATCAAAGTTGGATCAGCCTGTAGTGTGGTTTTCCACTTTAATTTTGAGGGTGACTCCAAATCCAGACCTCCATGGGTTGATACATTTGATTTCCATTCAACTATGTAAAGAAAAAAGTATTTAATAAGATTATTTCATTCATTCAGATCTAGGATGTGTTATTTTAGTGTTCCCTTTATTTTTTTGAGCAGTTTATATTAAAAAATTATTTGATGAAACATTGAATTTGGCCATTGAAATTAACCCATAGAAGCACATTGAATAACAGATTCATACATGGAAAAACAGATAGTCCAACAACAACAAAAATATCAAAAGGAAGTGTCTGTCCTACCCCATACAGTGGGGAGGAAGTATTTAGTCAGCCACCAATTGGTCAAGTTCTCCCATTTAAAAAGATGAGAGAGGCCTGTAATTTTCATCATAGGTACACGTCAACTATGACAGACAAATTGAGGAAAGAAAATCCAGAAAATCACATTGTAGGATTTTTTATGAATTTATTTGCAAATTATGGTGGAAAATAAGTATTTGATCACCTACAAACAAGCAAGATTTCTGGCTCTCACAGACCTGTAACTTCTTCTTTAAGAGGCTCCTCTGTCCTCCACTCGTTACCTGTATTAATGGCACCTGTTTGAACTTGTTATCAGTATAAAACCATAAACTTGTTATCAGTATGTCTCCTGAGTGGCGCAGTGGTCTAAGGCACTGCATCGCAGTACTAACTGTGCCACTAGAGATCCTGGTTCGAATCCAGGCTCTGTCGCAGCCGGCCGCGACCGGGAGACTCATGAGCGGCGCACAATTGGTCCAGGGTAGGGGAGGGAATGGCCGGCAGGGATGTAGCTCAGTTGATAGAGCATGGCGTTTGCAACGCCAGGGTTGTGGGTTCGATTCCCACGGGGGGCCAGTATAAAATAAAATAAATGTATTCACTAAGTCACTCTGGATAAGAGCATCTGCTAAATGACTAAAAATGTAAAAATAAAAGACACCTGTCCACAACCTAAAACAGTCACACTCCAAACTCCCCTATGGCCAAGACCAAAGAGCTGTCAAAGGACACCAGAAACATAATTGTAGACCTGCACCAGGCTGGGAAGACTGAATCTGCAATAGGTAAGCAGCTTGGTTTGAAGAAATCAACTGTGGGAGCAATTATTAGGATAATCTCCCTCGATCTGGGGCTCCACGCAAGATCTCACCCTGTGGGGTCAAAATGATCACAAGAACGGTGAGTGAAAATCTGGGACCAAAGTAACAAAGCCTACCATCAGTAACACACTACGCCGCCAGGGACTCAAATCCTGCAGTGCCAGACGTGTCCCCCTGCTTAAGCCAGTACATGTCCAGGCCTGTCTGAAGTTTGAGTGCATTTGGATGATCCAGAAGAGGATTGGGAGAATGTCAGATGAAACCAAAATATAACTTTTTGGTAAAAACTCAACTCGTCGTGTTTGGAGGACAAAGAATGCTGAGTTGCATCCAAAGAACACCATACCTACTGTGAAGCATGGGGGTGGAAACATCATGCTTTGGGGCTGTTTTTCTGCAAAGGGACCAGGACGACTGATCTGTGTAAAGGAAAGAATGAATGGGGCCATGTATTGTGAGATTTTGAGTGAAAACCTCCTTCCATCAGCAAGGGCATTGAAGATGAAACGTGGCTGGGTCTTTCAGCATGACAATGATCCCAAACACACCGCCCGGGCAACGAAGGAGTGGCTTCGTAAGAAGCATTTCAAGGTCCTGGAGTGGCCTAGCCAGTCTCCAGATCTCAACCCCATAGAAAATCTTTGGAGGGAGTTGAAAGTCTGTGTTGCCCAGCGACAGCCCCAAAACATCACTGCTCTAGAGGAGATCTGCATGGAGGAATGGGCCAAAATACCAGCAACAGTGTGTGAAAACCTTGTGAAGACTTACAGAAAACGTTTGACTTGTGTCATTGCCAACAAAGGGTATACAACAAAGTATTGAGAAACTTTTGTTATTGACCAAATACTTATTTTCCACCATAATTTGCAAATAAATTCATAAAAAATCCTACAATGTGATTTTTTTTTTTCTCTCATTTTGTCTGTCATAGTTGACGTGTACCTATGATGAAAATGACAGGCCTCTCTCATCTTTTTAAGTGGGAGAACTTGCACAATTGGTGGCTGACTAAATACTTTTTACCCCCACTGTATATACAAAAGTATGTGGACACCCCTTCAAATTACTGGATTTGGCTATTTCAGCCACACCCGCTGCTGACAGGTGGATAAAATCGAGCACACAGCCATGGAATCTCCATAGACAAACATTGGTAGTAGAATGTGTAGCACTTTGTGACATCTGCTGATGTAAAAAGGGGCTTTATATATAAATACATTTGATTGATTGAATGGCCTTACTGAAGAGCTCAGTGACTTTCAACGTGGCACCCGTCATAGGATGCCAACAAGTCCGTTCGTCAAATGTCTGCCCTGCTAGAGCGGCTGTAAGTAGCTGTAACTGTAAGTGCTGTTATTGTGAAGTGGAAACGTCTAGGAGCAACGACGGCTCAGCCGCGAAGTGGTAGGCCACACATGCTCACAGAACGGGACCGCCGACTGCTGAAGCACGTAGCGCGTAAAATCGTCGTCGTCGGTTGCAACACTCCTACCGATTCCAAACTGCCTCTGGAGCTTAATGAATGGGTTTCCATGCCAACCTAAGATCACCACTGCACACACTGGAAACAAATTCACCTTTCAGCAGACATAACTAAACACAAGCCAAATATACACTGGAGTTGGTTACCACGCGACATTGACTGTTTGTGAGGGGAGTAGTTACAGTTTTGACTTAATCGGCCTTACTGAAAGCTCAGTGAGAAATCCATCGTTCTCAACAGGTTGCTAGGGGGTTCGTTTTTTTTTTTTTTTTGTTTTTAAAAATTTTTTTTTTTTAAATTTTTTTTAAAAAAAAAAAAAAAATTTTTTAAACCCCTTTTAAAAATTTTTTGGGGAAAAACCCTTTTCCCCCTTTTTTGGGGGGGGCCCCCCCCGGGGGGGGCCAACCCGGGCCCCAAAAAACCCAAAAAAACCCCCCAAAATTTTTTTTAAAAATTTTTTTAAAAAAAAAAAAAAATTTTCCTTTTTTAAAAAAATTTTTTTTTAAAATTTTTCCCCTTTCTTAATTTAAAAAAAAAACCCTTTTTTTAAAAAAACCCCCTTTTTGGGAAAAACCAAAAAATTTTTTTTGGGGGGCCTTTTTAAAAAAAGGGGGTTTTTGAATTTAAACCCAAAAAAAAAAGGGGGGTTTTTTTTAAAAAAAAACCCCTTTTTTTTTTAAAAAAAAACCCGAAAATTTAAGGGTTTCCCCTTCCCAAAAAATGGGGGTTTTTTTTTTTTTCCCCCCCCTTTTTTCCCAAAAGGGTTTTTTCCCCCCCCCTTTTTTTTTTTTTGGGGGGGGCCCCCCCCCCCGGGGGTTTTAAAAAAAAGGGGGTTTTTTTGGGGGGGGTTGGGGCCCCCCCCCCGGGGGGGGGGGTTTTTTTTTTGGGGGGGGGTTTTTTTGGGGAAAAAGGGGGGGGGAAAAAAAAAATTTTTAAAAAAAAAGGGGGGGGGGGGGGGGGAAAAAAAAAAAAAAAAGGGGGGGGGAAAAAAAAAACCCCGGGGGGGGGGGGGGGGGGGTTTTTTTTGGGGGGGGGGGGGGAAAAAAAAAGGGTAAATGGGGGGGTTTCCAAAACCTTAAAAAACCCCCGGGGAAAAAGGGGGGGGGTTTCCCTTTTTTGGGGGCCCCCCCCCAAAAAAAAGGGGGGGGGACTTTCCCCCAAAAACCCCCCAAAACAACCCCTTAAATTTTTTCCCCTTTTTTTTTTAAAAACCCAAAACCCAAAAAAATTTTTTTTAAAAAAAAAAAATTAAAAAAAAAAGCACTTTTAACACGTGATGCCAAAATAGAACTCCAAGAATGATCATAGAATGCTGCGGTGCTTATGACGTCGACATAGAATCAGAATTTTATTGTAGTTTTAGAATTCTACCATTTGTGTTCTCACGATTTCGTTCTGAACCGCCTGCCTACCGTATTTTCATGGGGCAGTGGGCATAGCAGTCGCCCCCCCTGCATACGATTCTTACGCAAAAGGATGACTGTTTGTGATTTGCCAGAGTTAGCCCTCCCCGCCTTCTCTTTGTAGGTAACTTATTACAAGAGTTTGCGGGCGGAGTCGGTTACCGTGAGAGATCAATTGTGTGGGGTACAATAGGGAGAGCCGGGTACGACGCTGTCCTTTACTCTTCTGTACAGGGGACAGTTTGGGAATCTGGTACCTAAGCCCATTAGAGCACATTAATTGAAAAGGGAAATTAAAAAGCAAAAAATATGTCGGCAAATAAAGATGGAGACGGAGGATGGAAGAGCTTTCTGTGGAATTCGGAGAGGAAGGAATTTCTAGGACGCACGGGTGGCAGTTGGTGTAAGTACATAAATCCGTAATAAACTACCTTTGGGGGGATATTAACTAGAGGATAAGAATGGTAAGAGCCTGTTGTTTCCAGAAGTCCGTGTATCCCTCTGAATATTGTCAAGGCACGGAGGGCTCCAGACTCGTTCCCCATTTCCTGATCGGCGAAATACAGCACCAGTTAGATTTGACTTGTAGCATGGTGTCGTGACTTTCACTTTCAACGGAAAAGCACACGAAAAACACATTCAATTCATTAACTGTGAAATAGACTATAAACAACTCATCTGTAAAATAACCTTACTAACCTATCGATGGGATAATGTTACAATAAACCTAACGAAAATCCGCACCGTTTAAAAGGGCGTTTTCATATTTTCAAACTTTTCGGGCCAGTGAACGTTAATTATGTCCCTATTCGTTATTAGACTAAACCGGATCGATCATGTATACATTAGTGAAAGCAAGAGGCTCTCTCTGTGTCATTTGCCAAAGAGGTCATTTTGAAGGACATAGCTAGCTAATTGACATTCTATGGTGGGATTCCGGAGTGTTGGATTGCAACTAACATGGGCTTGTCTTGCCAAAATGGCATACTTGTTTCTGGTGTCACATAGTTAGCCTAGATTGGGATCAAATTTATAAAGTTGATAAATATGAATTGCTTTCTTTCTCTGAACAAAATAATGTGCCAAATGACAGAGGAACATCCATAATCTCGGTAATTAGCTGTTTAATCCCAATACTAAATGTTTCATAGGCATCCCAGTTCAAGGTTAGTCAAGGTGATCAGTCCTTTTAGCCTGAAACTGCTCTCATTGTTTTGAACCGAGAGAATCTAATGTAAATGTAGCCAACTATGAGCATTGATTTACCAATAAGCGATTTATCTTCTCTCCCGGGAGCTTGTAACGTCGTAACGCAGTGGCATCGAGGTTACACCGTTAGCTTTTCGCTCGGCATTGGAGCCGGAGACCTGTTGCGGTTGGTAGTTATCAACATTTGGTTTTATCTCTACATAGGAAGAGGAAGCTCACGACTCACATCCTCCGTCTCTACGGCCCGGTAGAAACCGTTTTTCTTTTAGCAGGCAGCTACTGCTAACAATGTGTTGCTTAGCTAATTCAATTCCTCGAGTTCACATAGGCTACCGTTTGGCGATTATTACAACTCTGTACCGGTACCCCCTGTATATAGCCTCGCTACTGTTATTTTACTGCTGCTCTTTAATTATTTTTTATTTTTTACTTATCTATTTTTTACTTAACACTTATTTTTCTTAAAACTGCATTGTTGGTTAAGGGCTTGTAATTTGCATTTCACGGTAAGGTCAACACCTGTTGTATTCAGCGCATGTGACGAATAACATTTGATTTGATTTCTCCCATATTTTTATTTTATTTTAGCACAAGTAGTTTCAGTAGTTATCTACACCTCTATATGGCAAAACAGTTATTAACTACTGAAAACATGACCTACATTTTGAATTTAGTTCAACTAACACCAAGCGACTGCAAAATGTAGTTCACTACTACCCAACTCCGGTTGTTTTGACCCAAGGTTAATGGCAGAAGGGTTGATTTACTATAGGCCAGGGGGTCACCTTCACAAGCAGGGAGAGAAAGTAACTTCTCTGGCCACACCTTTCTCTGCTTGTCTGTCTGCCTAGCCACATGGCCCACACCTGTCTCTGCCTGCCTGCTTGTTTAGCCACGCCTGTCTCTGCCTGCAGGCTGTGGTGGTGGTGGTGGGGGAGGTGAGGTGTGAGTTTGGGGATGTTTGTGGGCTAAATGAGGCTGACAGAGGAAAGGGACTGGTGACCGTCGACAATGACCCCGACTGATCCATCCTGCTAGACTGGAAGTGTTGTTGCCCGTATGTATAGTTAGAGTAGAGAAGTGTAGAGTTAGAGTTAACTCCTGAGTGGCGCAGTGGTCTAAGGCACTGCATCGCAGTGCTAACTGTGCCACTAGAGATCCTGGTTCGAATCCAGGCTCTGTCGCAGCCGGCCGCGACCGGGAGACTCATGGGCGGCGCACAATTGGCCCAGCGTCGTCCAGGGTAAGGGAGGGAATGGCCGGCAGGGATGTAGCTCAGTTGATAGAGCATGGCGTTTGCAACGGCAGGGTTGTGGGTTTGTTTCCCACGGGGGGCCAGTATAAAAAAAATATGTATTCACTAACTGTAAGTCGCTCTGGATAAGAGCGTCTGCTAAATGACTAAAATGTAAATTTAGAGGAGAAGTGTAGAGTTAGAGTAGAGAAGTGTAGCTTTAGAGTAGAGAAGTGTAGAGTTTAGAGTTAGAGAAGTGTAGAAGAAAAGACAAGTAGTGAAGTATGCTTTAGTAGTATATGTGTGGGGAAGTGTGCTTTAGTAGGGTAGTCAAGTCTGGTGCGGCACGTCGCCTAGCGGTTAAGATGGTTTGGGCAGTAACCGAAAGGTTTCTGGTTCGAATCTCTGAGCTGACTAGGTGAAAAATCTGTCAATGTGCCCTTGAGCAAGGAAGTTAACCCTAATTGCTCATGTAAGTCACTCTGGGTAAGAGTGTCTGCTAAATGACTAACATGTAAATAGAATGTAAATGGTCTAGTAGTGTTGTGTAGGGTAGTGTATTCTAGTAGTGTAGTGTGTTCTGGTAGGGTAGCATGTTACACTAGCTTCCCATATGGTCTAGTGGTTAGGATACCTGGTTTTCACCCAGGTGGCCCGGGTTCAACTCCTGGTATGGGAACTCACATCTTGTGGTCCTCTGTAGCTCAATTGGTAGAGCATGGCGCTTGTAACGCAAGGGTAGTGGGTTCGATCCCCGGGACCACCCATACGTAAAAATATATGCACACATGACTGTAAGTTGCTTTGGATAAAAGCGTCTGCTAAATGGCATATTATTATATAGTAGTGTAGGGTAGGGTATTCTAGTAGGGTAGGGTAGTCTAATGAACGTGCTTCAACAGGTTCTGTTTCTGCCCTGGCATTAACAGCAGAGTAAGGATTAAATACACGGTGGAGGGTGCACTAAAGGTGACAGTCAGTTCAGAGAAAGTAAAACCGTAGAGAGGTTTAGTTCCAGGAAGATTAACGCTCTTATGTCTCATCTTACAGGGATTTAGACTGTTTTTTTGCAATTAAATAAATAAATAATTGAAGTATTTCTCGTATTGGATCATAAGCATTTGTAATGACAGCATAAATTTAGTTTAGATAAGCAGACGTTTGGTTTGTTTTTTAGCCATTTGGAAAGTGATTTTGTTAGACATGTCCATTAGTTACTGAGCTGGGAGGCAAAGGAGGACACACTGAATTAGATTTAATAGAGATCCCTCTAACCCCATAATAAATCTATGGTTAAAGGACATAACATCAAACTTCCTTTTCTGTATTTTGTTGGTTATTTGAATTATAGCTAGCTAGCCCTGGTAGGATGAATCTATATGATGATGATGGGGAACGCTGGAGTATTATTGTCAGTCACCTCAAGGTCCACTTCACCCAGTCATAGAGATCTGCTAATAAACTATATGCATATCAGTACACCATCTACTACTAATATAAAGCATATGTCCATTTGTAATGAAACCCTTCTCTCTTTCTCTCCCCAGTTAAAATCTTGTTGTTCTACCTGATCTTCTATGGATGCTTGGCCGGGATTTTCATTGGGACCATCCAGGCCCTGCTGCTAACCCTTAGTAACTACAAACCCACCTACCAGGACAGAGTCGCCCCACCAGGTAAAGACTGCTCCACTCCCCTTATACTGCTTTAAGCTGCTTTACGCTGCTTTACGTTACGTTATACTGCGTTATAATGCTTTATGTTGCTCTATACTGCTTTATACTGCTTTATGCTGCTTTATGTTACATTATACTGCTTTATACTGCTTTAAGTTGCTTTATACTGCTCTATACTGCGTTACGCTGCTTTATACTGCTTTAGGCTGCTTTATACTGCTTTAGGCAATATCCTTTTGTCATTTTGTTAAGTGGGATTCCCATCAGAAGCTACTAAAGTGTCAAGGTATGAGGTGGCAGTGATTCCTCCTCCTCCAGTGATTGAGGAATTAAATAAAAGTGGGTCTCCAGTCTCCAGATGTCCTCTTTTATTCTCTATTGTTCCTCAATCAGGGGGGAGGCCGATGACATCACGGATTCCCATCGGACCAACTCCTTGAAGTTTGCAGTTGTCTAAAAACACAATTTACCCTTTAGTATGTGTACTTTCATGTATTTATTATACTTGGGATATCACTTTTCAACAGTACATGTAAAAAATAATCGCTGGAGGAAGTCTTTCAATCTTCAGTCATAACACTGTTTGCTGTATTGAGTTAGCTCAGTGGAACAGATTTAAACCAATTGTAATTAAAGGATTATAACTGTGTAGTAAATGGGTTTTACAGAGAACATTTCTACTAGTGTACATAAATGGAACTAGAACAATGATTGAAACATATATGCCTAGCAAGTAGCTAAAGTTAATAATAATCATCTTGAAGGCCTAGATAACCTCATATCATTAAGAGCATATTTGAATAGGCTTTTATCAGGATCAACCATAATGCTTTGGGCTTCAGTTAAGGGCTTCTATCATGTTGTTATTTTGGCTCGGTCGGTGAAGCATTGTGGCTACTGGGCCGCTTTATGTGGTTGACTGTTTATTTCCAAGGTTTCTGTCAAAACCTGCTCCTGAACGCCGCCTCCTCCCCACTGAAGGTCCCTCTGACCTCTGACAGCTTCAGACATTTTGTCCTTCGCTCTTCCTCCTCCCCTCTTCCTCCTCCCTGCCTGCCTGTCTGTCAGCTTCCCTCCGCAGGCTTCAGCTCTGGGAAACACAGCACTTCACTATTTTTACTGGGACTCAACTGCCTGTCTGTTCATGAATACATCTTTGGGAATTAATTTTAACATCGTGTGCAGGGCGGCTCATATGAGCCTGGAAATGGCAGTGGTGTTTTTATTTTATTTCATAAGGTGGAGTCAGAGAATCAACCCTGTAAGCGTGTTTGGAGAAATCCTTTCTGTAATCTTTTGAAGGCACGTTTAAAGAGACGCAACAGTGCAGCCTGTTGTATTATAAGTTACAGCTGCTGTTGCTTCCTTAATATGACTGGGAGTACATTTTTAATATCTCTCTCTCGCTTTCTCTCGCTCTCTCTCAGCCCTGCCTCCTGCGCCAAGGCCCATTTGCACAGCACACACTGTTGCCCAGGTGGTATTTTTAGCAGCCATTTTAAAGACTGGCACCATCACATGGGCCTGTTTGCCCTGTTGGCCATTTAGTTGTGGAGTGTCATGAGCTGAAGTGAGTTTCCATTGGTGGCCAGATAAAGGAAGGAGAAAGTCCCACCTCTCATTCTGAGGCTAAAAGTTTCCATTGTGACTGAAGAGCACGTGAGGCTGACGGGTGGGGGGAGGGGCAGGGAGACTTTCACGAGCCGGGGCTGGAAGTAAAACAGCTATATTGAACATTTGACTCCCCATAACATGTGCTAGGAAAAATATTTTGAGTAGCATTAAGCTTTAAGACGTGAACGGTTGGTTTTCATTGAGATCTTATGCAATAGACACTGGATGAGGATTCATATTTGGATGTTGAAGAAAGAGCGTGGTTAAAGAAACACAGTGACGTTTCCTCTCTCGTCTCCTCCTCCCCTCTCTCTCTCTGTCTCTCTCTCTCTCTCTGTCTCTCTCTCTCTGTCTCGCTCTCTCTCTCTCTCTCTCTCTCTGTCTGTCTGTCTGTCTCTCTCTCTCTCTCTCTCTCTCTCTCTCTCTCTCTGGCTGTGTTTTTGTTCTACCGTAAGTTATTTTTAGTGCTACATTGACATTGATTACTGCATTGTTGGGTTTGGAGTTTGCAAGAAAGGCATTTCACTGTATTTGCGCACGTGACTTTAAAACTTGAAACTTGCCACACCTAGCTGGGACCCTGTGTGTTCACCAGGGCTGTATGTCTGTGGAAAATTACTGCCACGGTTTACCCAGAACCCAGCTGAAGAGCGCTAGTAGACACCCAGGGGGGCGGAGGTTTTTGTATCATTTTATGAACCCTAACCCTAACAAAAATGCATTAATGGGTAACCATCATTTATAGCAAAACATCTTTTTTTATTTAGTGTCAAAGAAAGTCACTTAATTCAGGATTATATATGCCTATGTTGGTATATATACAGATATTTTTTGGGTGTTGGTAGATATATTTTATATATATATATATATATATATATATATATGTTGAAAAAAATAAAAGGAACCCACTTTCGTTTTCCAGATTATCTTTGATTCCTCCACATATACCCCCCCCCCCCCCCCATTCATTTAGTTGGACTGTGAAGCTAAAACGTTTAATTTGGCTCTATACTCCAGCATTTTGGATTTGAGATCAAATGTTTTATATGAAGCGACACTGCAGGATGCCACCTTTTATTTTCATATGAATCTGTTTCATCATTTAGAAATGAAAGCACTTTATGTATCTGGTCCCCCCAGGTTAAGGCCATTGCACCAATAACCGAAAGGTCGCAGGTTTGAATCCCAGAGCTGGCAAGGTAAAAAAATCTGCTGTTCTGCCCTTGAGCAAGGTAGTTAACAACAACTGCTCACCGGACGCCGATGACGTGGATTAAAGCAGCCCCCCGCACCTCTCTGATTCGGAGGGGTTGGGTAACTGACTAGGTATCCCCTTACCACTTATAGTGTATAACATATAGTCCAAAGTTAAATATTGGTCCTATATTCCTGGCAGGCAATGGCTTTATCAAGCACAAGAGAAGCATTAATTGTGTACAAATCTACCTCAAATACCTCATAACTCTCCACATTGATCTGGTACTGGTACTTCCTGTATATAGCTCCATATTGATCTGGTACTGGTACTCCCTGTATATAGCTCCACATTGATCTGGTACTGGTACTCCCTGTATATAGCTCCACATTGATCTGGTACTGGTACTACCTGTATTTAGCTCCACATTGATCTGGTACTGGTACTACCTGTATTTAGCTCCACATTGATCTGGTACTGGTACTCCCTGTATATAGCTCCACATTGATCTGGTACTGGTACTCCCTGTATATAGCTCCACATTGATCTGGTACTGGTACTACCTGTATTTAGCTCCACATTGATCTGGTACTGGTACTACCTGTATTTAGCTCCACATTGATCTGGTACTGGTACTCCCTGTATATAGCTCCACATTGATCTGGTACTGGTACTACCTGTATATAGCTCCACATTGATCTGGTACTGGTACTCCCTGTATATAGCTCCACATTGATCTGGTACTGGTACTCCCTGTATATAGCTCCACATTGATCTGGTACTCCCTGTATATAGCTCCACATTGATCTGGCACTCCCTTTATATAGCTCCATTCTTGTGTATTTTAATTTATTCCTGTTTTGTTACTATTTTTACTCTGCGTCGTTGGGAAGGGCTCGTAAGCAAAGCATTTCACAGTGAAGTCTAACCAGTTGTATTCTGCGCATTTCACAAATAACAATTTGATCTGATTTGATTACAAAGTTGTTGAATGCTTGTGCAGTTTGTTTTGGTTGTGTTTCAGATCATTTTGTGGCCAATAGAAATTCATGTTAAAATAATGTTTAGTGTCATTTTGGAGTCATTTTTTTAAAATTGTAAATAAGAATAGAATATGTTTCTGAACACTTCTACATTCATGTGGATGCTACCATGGTTACGGATAATCATGAATGAATCGTGAATAATGATGAGTGAGAATGTTACAGAGGCATAAATATCATACCCCCCCCCCCCCCTCCCCTGTTATTGGTATTGGTGAGAGCATGTTTTGGTGGCATGATGTCTGTAACCAGGTTTCCATCCAATCTTTGTATGCGAGTAAAGTACATGTCGGATATAAAATGTCAAAATGTTTTTTCTATCTTCCAAATGTCGACAAAACAAATATGCCAGACAAGGTGGGATATCTCTGTGTCGGTAAAATTTATTTTGCTTGAAATGCCGGTGGAAACGCTTTTATGCGCAAATTTCTATGTAATAACCATCATATCCGAAATATACTTGGAGTCACGCGATGACATGTGGCCCCTCCCACTAGGACTCAGGAAAGCATCAGTTTATTAGGCTACATATTAAATAAGTTATGAAGAACTTCACAGGGTGGCGAAAGTGCACGGTGATGAGCTTGATGCTCATTTTCAATAAATATCGAGGGTCTTATTCTGGTGACATGATGTTCGATGCTTGGCTGCCGTTTGACAAATAAAAATAATCTCTCTCTTTTGTCCATAATAATCTCATCATGTAGGCTGTACCCGCACCGTATCTGCCAGCGGTTGGCTACAGCGCAGTAGGCTGACCCTAACCCCACACCGTATCTGCCAGCGGTTGGCTACAGCGCAGTAGGCTAACCCTAACCCCACACCGTATCTGCCAGCGGTTGGCTACAGCGCAGTAGGCTGACCCTAACCCCACACCGTATCTGCCAGCGGTTGGCTACAGCGCAGTAGGCTGACCCTAACCCCGCACCGTATCTGCCAGCGGTTGGCTACAGCGCAGTAGGCTAACCCTAACCCCACACCGTATCTGCCAGCGGTTGGCTACAGCGCAGTAGGCTAACCCTAACCCCACACCGTATCTGCCAGCGGTTGGCTACAGCGCAGTAGGCTAACCCTAACCCCACACCGTATCTGCCAGCGGTTGGCTACAGCGCAGTAGGCTAACCCTAACCCCACACCGTATCTGCCAGCGGTTGGCTACAGCAAAGTAGGCTAACTCTAACCCCACACCGTATCTGCCAGCGGTTGGCTACAGCGCAGTAGGCTAACCCTAACCCCACACCGTATCTGCCAGCGGTTGGCTACAGCGCATGTGCCTATACCAGAGAGGGCACATTCGCTATAGAAAAAAAAAAAAACGGTGACATAAAGTGCTTTTATTTCTAAACGGTAAAACAGATATGTATGAAAATACCCTAAAATAAAAGGTGACATTTTGTACTGTCGTTTCCGATTTTAAAAAATGTGATCTCAAATCCAAAATGCTGGCGTAAGAGCCAAATTAAAGGTTTTAGCTTCACTGTCAAAATAAATACATAGTGGAGTGTATGACCCTATTTAATACCGTCTCAACCTGGCAGTACTTCCTCTATGACCCTATTTAATACCGTCTCCACCTGGCAGTACTTCCTCTATAACCCTATTTAAAACCCTCTCAACCTGGCAGTACTTCCTATTTAAAACCCTCTCGACCTGGCAGTACTTCCTCTACAACCCTATTTAAAACCCTCTCAACCTGGCAGTACTTCCTATTTAAAACCCTCTCGACCTGGCAGTAATTCCTCTATAACCCTATTTAAAACCCTCTCAACCTGGCAGTACTTCCTGTATAACCCTAATTAAAACCCTCTCAACCTGGCAGTACTTCCTATTTAAAACCCTCTCGACCTGGCAGTACTTCCTCTATAACCCTATTTAAAACCCTCTCAACCTGGCAGTACTTCCTCTATGACCCTATTTAATACCCTCTCGACCCGGCAGTACTTCCTCTATAACCCTATTTAAAACCCTCTCAACCTGGCAGTACTTCCTCAATGACTCTATTTAATACCGTCTCCACCTGGCAGTACTTCCTCTATGACCCTATTTAAAACCCTCTCGACCCGGCAGTACTTCCTCTATGACCCTATTTAATACCCTCTCGACCCGGCAGTACTTCCTCTATGACCCTATTTAAAACCCTCTCGACCCGGCAGTACTTCCTCTATGACCCTATTTAATACCCTCTCGACCCGGCAGTACTTCCTCTATGACCCTATTTAAAACCCTCTCGACCCGGCAGTACTTCCTCTATGACCCTATTTAAAACCCTCTCGACCTGGCAGTACTTCCTCTATGACCCTATTTAAAACCCTCTCGACCCGGCAGTACTTCCTCTATAACCCTATTTAAAACCCTCTCGACCCGGCAGTACTTCCTCTATGACCCTATTTAATACCCTCTCGACCCGGCAGTACTTCCTCTATGACCCTATTTAATACCCTCTCGACCCGGCAGTACTTCCTCTATAACCCTATTTAATACCCTCTCGACCCGGCAGTACTTCCTCTATGACCCTATTTAAAACCCTCTCGACCCGGCAGTACTTCCTCTATGACCCTATTTAATACCCTCTCGACCCGGCAGTACTTCCTCTATGACCCTATTTAATACCCTCTCGACCCGGCAGTACTTCCTCTATGACCCTATTTAATACCCTCTCGACCCGGCAGTACTTCCTCTATGACCCTATTTAATACCGTCTCTATCATCCATACTAACCCAGTGTGCTGTCTTCCTACAGGTCTGTCACACACCCCACGCTCTGAAAAGTTTGAGATCTCTTACGATATCAACGATGTGGAGACGTATCTGAAGTACACCAAGAGCATCAAGGAGTTCCTGGAGATGTACAATGAGGAGAAGCAGAGTGACCAGATGAAGTATGAAAACTGTGGAGGCAAGTACAGACTAGTAGAAACTAGTACAGACTAGTAGAAACTAGTAGACACTAGTACAGACTAGTACAGACTAGTAGAAACTAGTAGACACGAGTACAGACTAGTACAGACTAGTAGAAACTAGTAGACACGAGTACAGACTAGTACAGACTAGTAGAAACTAGTAGACACTAGTATAGACTAGTACAGACTAGTAGAAACTAGTAGACACTAGTATAGACTAGTACAGACTAGTAGAAACTAGTATACACTAGTATAGACTAGTAGAAACTAGTAGACACTAGTACAGACTAGTACAGACTAGTAGAAACTAGTACAGACTAGTACAGACTAGTAGAAACTAGTAGACACTAGTACAGACTAGTACAGACTAGTAGAAACTAGTAGACACTAGTACAGACTAGTACAGACTAGTAGAAACTAGTATACACTAGTATAGACTAGTAGAAACTAGTAGACACTAGTACAGACTAGTACAGACTAGTAGACACTAGTATAGACTAGTACAGACTAGTAGACACTAGTATAGACTAGTACAGACTAGTACAGACTAGTAGAAACTAGTAGACACTAGTATAGACTAGTACAGACTAGTAGAAACTAGTAGACACTAGTATAGACTAGTACAGACTAGTAGAAACTAGTATACACTTATATAGACTGAGTGGCGCAGTGGTCTAAGGCACTGCATCGCAGTGCAAACTGTGCCACTAGAGATCCTGGTTCGAATCCAGGCTCTGTCGCAGCCGGCCGCGACCGGGAGACTCATGGGTGGCGCTCAATTTGTCCAGGGTAGGGGAGGGAATGGCCGGCAGGGATGTAGCTCAGTTGATATGGCATTTGCAACGCCAGGGTTGTGGGTTCACTTCCCACGGGGGGCCAGTATAAAAAAAATTATGTATTCACTAACTGTAAGTCGCTCTGGATAAGAGCATCTGCTAAATGACTAAAATGTATAGACTAGTAGACACTATCAGTACCTGCACTGTGTCCCAAATACCACCCTATTCCCTTTATAGTGCACTACTTAGGACTAGGGCACTAAATAGGGAATAGGGTGCCATTTGGGATGCAGGTCTGGAATAGTAGTGAATGGGTATGCATGGCTTGGGAATGTCAATATGCCACGCAATATAATGTCTGATTTGATAATTGGGTGATTGATTGAATTTATGTTGGGTGTTTAATATTGTAAAAGGTTAATTGTTGAGGCGGCAGGTAGCTTAGTGGTTAACAGTGTTGTGCCAGTAACCGGAAGGTCGCAGGTTCTAATCCCCGAGCCGACTAGGTGGAAAATCTGTTGCTGTGCCCTTGAGCAAGGCACTTAAACCTAATTGCTCATGTAAGTCGCTCTGGATAAGAGCGTCTGCTAAATGACTAAAATGTTAAACATTATTGTTTAACTTCTGGTACATCGACGTGGGGTTATTTTAAAACCAACTGAAACTGGTGTTGTCGTGTAGGTTACTTTATGAAGACGCAGACTACTGACTGTTTAATATAAAAGAATGAAAGGCTTTTACAGAACACACATGCTGGCTTAAACATTCCTAGGCTTCCGCCTGCCAGCCACCGTGCTCAACTCTGACCTCATACGTCACTGCCCAACATTAAACTACATTTTACGTAGACACTCTTATCCAGAGCGACTTACAGTTAGTGAGTGCATACATTATTTTTTCATACTGGCCCCCCGTGGGAATCGAACCCACAACCCTGGCATTGCAAACGCCATGCTCTACCAACTGAGCTACATCCCTGCCAGCCATTCCCTACCCTGGACCAATTGTGCGCCACCCCATGGGTCTCCTGGTCACGGCCGGCTACTACAGAGCCTGGATTTGAACCAGGATCTCTAGTGGCACAGCTAGCACTGCGATGCAGCGCCTTAGACCACTGCACCACTCGGGAGACTACAGGCGGAATAAGGTACCCTGTTGGGGTTTAGCTATGCTGTGTCCGGTGTCCTGTATATTGTCTGCTCAGGTGACTGATTTAATAGGTGTCTCTCTGTGCTTGTAGAATTACCTGCTACGTACCTGGACCGTGGCGAGCTGGAGAGCGACGTTGGAGTGAGGAAGGCCTGCAGGTTCCACCGGACCTGGCTGGGACCCTGCTCTGGTCTGGATGGTCAGGATGAAACCTTCGGCTTCAAGGACGGGAAACCCTGCCTGATCGCCAAGCTCAACAGGATCGTCAACTTCAGACCAAGGGTACGCACACCTGCCCCACGCTAAACCAGTTTATAGCATTGATTAACTAAACTCAAAATATTTATTTTATTTTAGGTTTGTTAAACTCCCTGTGCTACACGCAATTCAGCTTTTAGCTGCCATGTATACTGAACTGAAACTAAACCATCCTGTGATCTTATGGTATCTTATGTGTCAGAACACAGACCCTCCAGACCTGAAACATAGCCTATATTCAAGATCCTCCAAACCTGAAACATAGCCTATATTCAAGATCCTCCAAACCTGAAACATAGCCTATATTCAAGACTCTCCAGACCTGAAACATAGCCTATATTCAAGACTCTCTCAACTTGAAACGTAGCCTATATTCAAGACTCTCCAGACCTGAAACATAGCCTATATTCAAGACTCTCCAGACCTGAAACATAGCCTATATTCAAGACTCTCCAGACCTGAAACATAGCCTATATTCAAGACTCTCCAGACCTGAAACATAGCCTATATTCAAGACTCTCCAGACCTGAAACATAGCCTATATTCAAGACCCCCCAGACCTGAAACATAGCCTATATTCAAGACTCTCCAGACCTGAAACATAGCCTATATTCAAGACTCTCCAGACCTGAAACATAGCCTATATTCAAGACTCTCCAGACCTGAAACATAGCCTATATTCAAGACTCTCCAGACCTGAAACATAGCCTATATTCAAGACTCTCCAGACCTGAAACATAGCCTATATTCAAGACTCTCCAGACCTGAAACATAGCCTATATTCAAGACTCTCCAGACCTGAAACATAGCCTATATTCAAGACTCTCCAGACCCGAAACATAGCCTATATTCAAGACTCTCCAGACCTGAAACATAGCCTATATTCAAGACTCTCCAGACCTGAAACATAGCCTTTATTCAAGACCCCCCAGACCTGAGAGCTAGTGTGAATATATTAAAGTGAAGGACCAGTTTCTCCATGATTCTACTTCCTCTAGTTTTGTCTGTGTGGTGATAGATGTTACCACTGAGGGACACTTTACAGAAACAGTTTCAGGATGAAAAAGTGATAATGACAACAAGGTGATAATGCGTATTGGTCTGTCTGGATTAGGTTAAGGTGATAATGCTTATTGGTCTGTCTGGATTAGGTTAAGGTGATAATGCGTATTGGTCTGTCTGGGTTAGGTTAAGGTGATAATGCTTATTGGTCTGTCTGGGTTAGGTTAAGGTGATAATGCGTATTGGTCTGTCTGGATTAGGTTAAGGTGATAATGCTTATTGGTCTGTCTGGGTTAGGTTAAGGGGATAATGCATATTGGTCTGTCTGGATTAGGTTAAGGTGATAATGCTTATTGGTCTGTCTGGATTAGGTTAAGGTGATAATGCGTATTGGTCTGTCTGGGTTAGGTTAAGGTGATAATGCTTATTGGTCTGTCTGGGTTAGGTTAAGGGGATAATGCTTATTGGTCTGGGTTAGGTTAAGGTGATAATGCTTATTGGTCTGTCTGGGTTAGGTTAAGGTGATAATGCTTATTGGTCTGTCTGGGTTAGGTTAAGGTGATAATGCGTATTGGTCTGGGTTTTGTTTCAGCCTCCAACCAACAATGCCTCCATCCCTGAAGCCGGCCAGATCAGAGTCCAGCCCAACGTAATCCCCATCCACTGTCAGAACAAGGTACGCCTCACATGGCACTGGGAAGCATATCGCCAACATATAGACTGCATCCAAAAATTGCACCCTATTCCCTATATAGTGCACTACTTTTGACCAGGGTCAATAGGGTTCTGGTCTAAAGTAGTGCACTATGTAGGGAATAGGGTGCCATTTCTGATGCAACCATAACATGAACCTGTAGTTACAGTGAGGGAAAAAAGTATTTGGTCCCCTGCTGATTTTGTACGTTTGCCCACTGACAAAGAAATGATCAGTCTATAATTTTTATGGTAAGTTTATTTGAACAGTGAGAGACAGAATAACAACAAAAAAATCCAGAAAAACACATGCCAAAATGTTATAAATTGATTTGCATTTTTATGAGGGAAATAAGTATTTGACCCCCTCTCAATCAGAATGAGTTCTGGCTCCCAGGTGTCTTTTATACAGGTAACGAGCTGAGATTAGGAGCACACTCTTAAAGGGAGTGCTCCTAATCTCAGTTTGTTACCTGTATAAAAGACACCTGTCCACAGAAGCAATCAATCAATCAGATTCCAAACTCTCCACCATGGCCAAGACCAAAGAGCTCTCCAGGGATGTCAGGGACAAGATTGTAGACCTACACAAGGCTGGAATGGGCTACAAGACCATCGCCAAGCAGCTTGGTGAGAAGGTGACAACAGTTGGTGCGATTATTCGCAAATGGAAGAAACACAAAAGAACTGTCAATCTCCCTCGGTCTGGGGCTCCATGCAAGATCTCACCTCGTGGAGTTGCAATGATCATGAGAACGGTGAGGAATCAGCCCAGAACTACACGGGAGGATCTTGTCAATGATCTCAAGGCAGCTGGGACCATAGTCACCAAGAAAACAATTGGTAACACACTACGCCGTGAAGAACTGAAATCCTGCAGCGCCCGCAAGGTCCCCCTGCTCAAGAAAGCACATATACATGCCCATCTGAAGTTTGCCAATGAACATCTGAATGATTCAGAGGAGAACTGGGTGAAAGTGTTGTGGTCAGATGAGACCAAAATTGAGCTCTTTGGCATCAACTCAACTCGCCGTGTTTGGAGGAGGAGGAATGCTGCCTATGACCACAAGAACACCATCCCCTCCGTCAAACATGGAGGTGGAAACATTATGCTTTGGGGGTGTTTTCTGCTAAGGGGACAGGACAACTTCACTGCATCAAAGGGACGATGGACGGGGCCATGTACCGTCAAATCTTGGGTGAGAACCTCCTTCCCTCAGCCAGGGCATTGAAAATGGGTCGTGGATGGGTATTCCAGCATGACAATGACCCAAAACACACGGCCAAGGCAACAAAGGAGTGGCTCAAGAAGAAGCACATTAAGGTCCTGGAGTGGCCTAGCCAGTCTCCAGAAAGTCTGTGCAGGGAGCTGAAGGTTTGAGTTGCCAAACGTCAGCCTCAAAACCTTAATGACTTGGAGAAGATCTGCAAAGAGGAGTGGAACAAAATCCCTCCTGAGATGTGTGCAAACCTGGTGGCCAACTACAAGAAACGTCTGACCTCTGTGATTGCCAACAAGGGTTTTGCCACCAAGTACTAAGTCATGTTTTGCAGAGGGGTCAAATACTTATTTCCCTCATTAAAATGCAAATCAATTTATAACATTTTTGACATGCGTTTTTCTGGATTCTTTTGTTGTTATTCTGTCTCTCACTGTTCAAAATAAACCTACCATTAAAATTATAGACTGATCATGTCTTTGTCAGTGGGAAAACGTACAAAATCAGCAGGGGATCAAATACTTTTTTCCCCTCACTGTATCTCACAAGCAAGCTGTCAGGGGATAAATGCTGTACTTGGTCTCTGTGTGTGCTTTTTAGATGGACATTTTGACCTTAGGAAAAAGATCCAACACTGTTCTGTTATGGCAGCCTACTAACTGTGATGTCATCCTGTCATTCTCTCTACAGAGGGAGGAGGACGCTAGCATGATTGGTGAGATCAAGTACTATGGCATGGGCATGGGGTTCCCCCTCCAGTACTACCCCTACTACGGCAAGCTGCTGCACCCCCAGTACCTGCAGCCCCTGGTGGCCATCCAGTTCACCAACCTCACCTTCAACCAGGAGCTGCGTCTCGAGTGCAAAGTATACGGAGCCAACATCGACTACAGCGAGAAAGATCGCTACCAAGGACGCTTTGACGTTAAGTTCACTATCACCAATTTATGACCTCAGCTATGAAAAATAGCACTTTTCTCTGCCCCCCTATTTCAAAACAAGTTGATTTGGAGAAATAAAGGAGAAGAAGAAGAAAAGAAAAAAAGAGTTCAATTGAAACACGACTAGTCTTGGAACAAACTTTCATAATATACGGGACCTACACTTAATCTGTGTGCTTTAAACTGGCTTTTCTGCATCATGTCTAGGGTTAAAATGTACATTACACTGGCTTTTCTGCATCATGTCTAGGGTTAGAATGTACATTACACTGGCTTTTCTGCATCATGTCTAGGGTTAGAATGTACATTACAGGAAGAGTAGCAATAGCAAAATATTTATTCTACTGTAAATGAGAATAGTCCTTGAGCCATGGGGACATGTTCATCTATTACTGTAAATAGCAATTCCACTACTGAGATGTAGCGAGCGGTGTTTCAGTGTGTCCCCGAGCGGTGTTTCAGTGTGTCCCCTAAGTATTCTGCCTAATGTGGTTTTCTAGATATTTTTGGAATGTCCAGTGCAGTAGCGGCATAGCGGTCCTTTCCAAGCCATGTTTGTAATTTCCGTTGTCTTATGTCAGTAAGCTTTAGTGGTCCAAGGTGTGCGTATTTAAGTGTTGTGTTTCTGTGTTGTGTGTTTTTTGTGTTAATGTGAGCGTGTGGATGTGTGTTAATGTACTCTTACTAACTGAAAATACTGGCATGGTATGCTCTGATCTCTCTCTAGGTCTGTGTGTGTGACTGATGTCTCTCTAGGACTGAGTGATCGCTCTCTAGGTCTAATCTCTCTCTAGGTCCGTGTGTGAGTGATCTCTCTCTCTCTCTAGGTCTGTGTGTGAGTGATCTCTCTCTCTAGGTCTGATCTCTCTCTAGGTCCGTGTGTGAGTGATCTCTCTCTCTAGGTCTGATCTCTCTCTAGGTTTGTGTGTGAGTGATCTCTCTCTCTAGGTCTGATCTCTCTCTAGGTCCGTGTGTGAGTGATCTCTCTCTCTAGGTCTGATCTCTCTCTCTAGGTCCGTGTGTGAGTGATCTCTCTCTCTCTCTAGGTCTGATCTCTCTCTAGGTCTGTGTGTGAGTGATCTCTCTCTCTAGGTCTGATCTCTCTCTAGGTCTGTGTGAGTGATCTCTCTCTAGGAATGTCAGAAAATGGCTGCACACCCTGGAATGCTTTCCCTTCATGTATTTTTCAGTTGATTGTGAGAATATTTCTTCTACATTTGAATCACCTTTAATATGGGACAGAGGGTTTAATGACATTTCAGTTTGATGCTTCTCGTCCTCTCTCTGTAGTCTAGAGCTAGCTGTACTCTGTGTCCAGCGGCAGGCAGGGGAGACTAGCTGCCTTTCTCCTTCATGGAAACACTGACAGCAACTCAGTGCTTTTAAAACAAAATATTTTGATTTTTTTTTGCTGGAGACGTCACATGTGGTGTAACTTTCTAATGAATGTTTAGCCATTTTCATGGTGGAAGAATTTTATATTTATGCAAGTTGTAAAAAAATAAAAATAAAATACAGGAAAAGGTCTAATGTATGAATCCAATGCCAAAGTCGCTGGTCAAAGGTTAGAATATCAGAAGCAATGCAGTACCCCATGTAATAGGATGTTTTGTTGGTGTAAAAGTGATTAAATGTTGAACATCCAAACACATTTTATTGAATCAAGGTAAGACCTAAAGACAAATAAATTGAGAAATGTATCCTGCAGTCAAATGTATTTTATTTACATACTCATAGAAATGGAATGTGCATATTAGTATTTGTGGTGTAAAAAAAGACTTCATCCATCCAAAATCTGGAAGAAATATTGGACCTGTTGAAAGGGAAAATGAACAATTATTAACTATTAACGATCTCTCAAAAATGCTTCTGAAATCCTAGTTTATATTTAATGTAGCTAAACTATTTAATTGATAAATAGATAGGCTACATAATATTACATTGATAGATCGATAGGAGTTAAGACAGGGCTGTTCCAGAGGGAGTTAGACAGGGCTGTTCCAGAGGGAGTTAGACAGGGCTGTTCCAGAGGGAGTTAGACAGGGCTGTTACAGAGGGAGTTAGACAGGGCTGTTACAGAGGGAGTTAGACAGGGCTGTTACAGAGGGAGTTAGACAGGGCTGTTACAGAGGGAGTTAGACAGGGCTGTTACAGAGGGAGTTAGACAGGGCTGTTACAGAGGGAGTTAGACAGGGCTGTTACAGAGGGAGTTAGACAGGGCTGTTACAGAGGGAGTTAGACAGGGCAGGGCTGTTACAGAGGGAGTTAGACAGGGCTGTTACAGAGGGAGTTAGACAGGGCAGGGCTGTTACAGAGGGAGTTAAGACAGGGCTGTTACAGAGGGAGTTAGACAGGGCTGTTACAGAGGGAGTTAGACAGGGCTGTTACAGAGGGAGTTAGACAGGGCTGTTACAGAGGGAGTTAGACAGGGCTGTTACAGAGGGAGTAGACAGGGCTGTTACAGAGGGAGTTAGACAGGGCTGTTACAGAGGGAGTTAAGACAGGGCTGTTACAGAGGGAGTTAGACAGGGCTGTTACAGAGGGAGTTAGACAGGGCTGTTACAGAGGGAGTTAGACAGGGCTGTTACAGAGGGAGTTAGACAGGGCTGTTACAGAGGGAGTTAGACAGGGCTGTTACAGAGGGAGTTAGACAGGGCTGTTACAGAGGGAGTTAGACAGGGCTGTTACAGAGGGAGTTAGACAGGGCTGTTACAGAGGGAGTTAGACAGGGCTGTTACAGAGGGAGTTAGACAGGGCTGTTACAGAGGGAGTTAGACAGGGCTGTTACAGAGGAGTGTTTAAGACAGGGCTGTTACAGAGGGAGTAAGACAGGGCTGTTACAGAGGGAGTTAGACAGGGCTGTTACAGAGGGAGTTAGACAGGGCTGTTACAGAGGGAGTTAGACAGGGCTGTTACAGAGGGGGTTAGACAGGGCTGTTACAGAGGGAGTTAGACAGGGCTGTTACAGAGGGAGTTAGACAGGGCTGTTACAGAGGGGTTAGACAGGGCTGTTACAGAGGGAGTTAGACAGGGCTGTTACAGAGGGAGTTAGACAGGGCTGTTACAGAGGGAGTTAGACAGGGCTGTTACAGAGGGAGTTAGACAGGGCTGTTACAGAGGGAGTTAAGACAGGGCTGTTACAGGGAGATTAGACGGCGGGGCTGTTACAGAGGGAGTTAGACAGGGCTGTTACAGAGGGAGTTAGACAGGGCTGTTACAGAGGGAGTTAAGACAGGGCTGTTACAGAGGGAGTTAGACAGGGCTGTTACAGAGGGAGTTAGACAGGGCTGTTACAGAGGGAGTTAGACAGGGCTGTTACAGAGGGAGTTAGACAGGGCTGTTACAGAGGGAGTTAGACAGGGCTGTTACAGAGGGAGTTAGACAGGGCTGTTACAGAGGGAGTTAAGACAGGGCTGTTACAGAGGGAGTAAGACAGGGCTGTTACAGAGGGAGTTAGACAGGGCTGTTACAGAGGGAGTTAGACAGGGCTGTTAGAGAGGGAGTTAGACAGGGCTGTTACAGAGGGAGTTAGACAGGGCTGTTACAGAGGGAGTTAGACAGGGCTGTTACAGAGGGAGTTAGACAGGGCAGGGCTGTTACAGAGGGAGTTAGACAGGGCTGTTACAGAGGGAGTTAAGACAGGGCTTGTTACAGAGGGAGTTAGACAGGGCTGTTACAGAGGGAGTTAGACAGGCTGTTACAGAGGGAGTTAGACAGGGCTGTTACAGAGGGAGGTAGACAGGCTGTTACAGAGGGAGTTAGACAGGGCAGGGCTGTTACAGAGGGAGTTAGACAGGGCTGTTACAGAGGGAGTTAGACAGGGCTGTTACAGAGGGAGTTAGAAGGGCAGGGCTGTTACAGAGGGAGTTAGACAGGGCTGTTACAGAGGGAGTTAGACAGGGCTGTTACAGAGGGAGTTAGACAGGGCTGTTACAGAGGGAGTTAGACAGGGCTGTTACAGAGGGAGTTAGACAGGGCTGTTACAGAGGGAGTTAGACAGGGCTGTTACAGAGGGAGTTAGACAGGCTGTTACAGAGGAGTTAGACAGGGCTGTTACAGAGGGAGTTAGACAGGCTGTTACAGAGGAGTTAGACAGGGCTGTTACAGAGGGAGTTAGACAGGGCTGTTACAGAGGGAGTTAGACAGGGCTGTTACAGAGGGAGTTAGACAGGGCTGTTTACAGAGGGAGTTAGACAGGGCTGTTACAGAGGGAGTTAGACAGGGCTGTTACAGAGGGAGTTAGACAGGGCTGTTACAGAGGGAGTTAGACAGGGCTGTTACAGAGGAGTTAGACAGGGCTGTTACAGAGGGAGTTAGACAGGGCAGGGCTGTTACAGAGGGAGTTAGACAGGCTGTTACAGAGGGAGTTAGACAGGGCTGTTACAGAGGGAGTTAGACAGGGCTGTTACAGAGGGAGTTAGACAGGGCTGTTACAGAGGGAGTTAGACAGGGCTGTTACAGAGGGGGTTAGACAGGGCTGTTACAGAGGGAGTTAGACAGGGCTGTTACAGAGGGAGTTAGACAGGGCTGTTACAGAGGGAGTTAGACAGGGCTGTTACAGAGGGAGTTAGACAGGGCTGTTACAGAGGGAGTTAGACAGGGCTGTTACAGAGGGAGTTAGACAGGGCTGTTACAGAGGGAGTTTAAGACAGGGCTGTTACAGAGGGAGTTAGACAGGGCTGTTACAGAGGGAGTTAGACAGGGCTGTTACAGAGGGAGTTAGACAGGGCTGTTACAGAGGGAGTTAGACAGGGCTGTTACAGAGGGAGTTAGACAGGGCTGTTACAGAGGGAGTTAGACAGGGCTGTTACAGAGGGAGTTAAGACAGGGCTGTTACAGAGGGAGTTAGACAGGGCTGTTACAGAGGGAGTTAGACAGGGCTGTTACAGAGGGAGTTAGACAGGGCTGTTACAGAGGGAGTTTAGACAGGGCGTTACAGAGGGAGTTAGACAGGGCTGTTACAGAGGGAGTTAGACAGGGTTGTTAACAGAGGGAGTTAGGACAGGGGTT